TTTGTTCAGTTTTATTTCAGTTTTTTTGACCAATTTTGTTCAGTTTTTTCCACAATTTTATTTCAGTTTTTTTCACCAATTTTGTTCACTTTTATTTCAGATCTTTTGACCAATTTTGTTCAGTTTTATTTCAGTTTTTTTGACCAATTTTGTTCAGTTTGTTTCCACAATTTTGTTCAGTTTTTTTGACCAATTTTATTTCAGTTTTTTTGACAAATTTTGTTCACTTTTATTTCAGTTTTTTTGACATTTGGATGTATTTTTCTTATCCTCGGTTTCTTGTATCTTTTTGCTTTCTTATGCTTTTTTCTTATTTAATGATTTTCTTATTATACTATTATATATATATGTATATACTATTGTACTATTTCATATTACATTGTATAAATTACATGCAGGTAGTTTGAATAAATTTGAAACCCTTTATTTAATTGTATGAAAATGCAGTAACTTGTTTACATATAATTTTTGCTTAAATATACATTTATATATATAAGATTATATATTATATAAAAGCACTTGTATGAGTATGTGGTAAGAATTAACAGAAAATGTTGAAAAATATGCGAAAATCGAACGCCAGATCTCTAAGAATTGAATAAAACTAGTCAGGAGACATTCAAGGGGAGATAAATGCTCTTTTTTTATACATTTATAAAAATAAGATTATGTATTATATAAAAGCACTTGTATGAGTATGTGGTAAGAATTAACAGAAAATGTTGAAAAATATGCGAAAAACGAACGGCAGGTCTATAAAAATTGGATAAAACTAGTCAGGAGACATTCAAGGGGAGATAAATGCTCTCTTTTTATACATTTATATTGTCTTGTCCCAGGGAAACATGTATAAGCGCTCTCGATGAACAAGTTGCAATCCACTGAGCAACATGACTATAGACCTAAATGAGCGAACTTCGAATTTGGTCAATTTAAAGGAGAAGTAAATGAGCGAACTTCGAATTTGGTCAATTTAAAGGAGAAGTAAATGAGCGAACTTCGAATTTTGACAATTTAAAGGAGAAGTGAAGCACATATCTAACGGTAACGTCGTTTACATGTCTGTCTGTAGATGGGTAATAATTTTTGCTGTTGCAATGCCAAACTGTTCAAATATTGTTGCTTTAAAGCACTAATAGTAGCGATTTTACGACGTTATGTAGTGCCGGCATAACTGTAATTAGAAATAGAGGATGAGAAAGTTGAAGGGAAAGCAGTCGCGGATGAAGATATAGATGAATTTAAGGCTTCCAAATCAATTTTTATTTTATCAATTTCTAATTTTTTTCATTAAAATTAGATTGAAGCTCCATTCATTTGATATATTATACAAATTTTTCATTGATTTTTTATCAATTTTTCGTGCCCCTCATTGATTTTTTATCAATTATCAATTAGCGCTTATCTCTGCCTTTTCCTCCATGTCTTCTGTTAATTAAAATTTTTCACTTACACACATACAGTCTTAGTGAAGCCTTTATTTACTTTAATTGCAGTATCGTTTTCGATCTACAAATCTCCCTCCTCGACATCACATATTATTATATCTTATATTATTATAATTTGCGTATGTTTCAAACGTTTTGCTCATATTCGTCCTAATTCAAATTCCGAGCTTGATCATCTATCAGACTGATCCTTTTCAATGATTGCTGGTTTTAAAAAAATCTTTTATTGAAGTCTGTTTTCCCTTATGTCGTTTCAGCTCATCACACCTTTTCACTTATTGTCAATTGTTCGGAAATTATGAATATTGAAATTCAATAGTCAATTACAAATCAACTGTCAAGTAAGAAAACATTTTTTTTTTTAAATCTTTTATTCACTTATTGATAAGTTTCTTTTTTTTAGAATTACAAATCAATTTTGAAAATGGATGAAAACATCGAATCAAGTAAAGAAGTAAACAATGTAGACGCACCAGAAAGAGCTTGTGGTGACAAGAACAACAAGACAATAGTAGACATAATATTTGGGGACCTTTCTACAACGCCTTTTAACAGTCCTACAACATCGCGTGAGAGTAAATTGAGAAATTTGGAGCGGTCCCTTTTATTTATATTACGGGAGAAACCGAAACGTAACTGTAGCCGTAAATTTAAAGAGAAGGCGAAATCAAATTTGGAGGAAAAATTCAAGGTCGCTACTGATAACAATGAGAATATGAGTACATGTTCATCTTCATTGTTGCATGATAAGCATTTTTTGAATTCTAAAAACTAATAGGATTCTACGCTAGAAACAGAAAGTAACTATCTCTTTATAGGCTTTTTTTAACAAGTCTAACTTTGTACATTCTTCTTAGGAAAAGCTTGAGATCGTTGTTACGACGATATCCAGAAAGAGGACACGTACATCGTAAATGAAAGTGAGTTGTTTTTAAAATCTGTGATGAGACAATATTTAAATTAATCCAAAATTTTTTTAGCTTTAATGTCATCTAATCAGTGTAAAACTGGGATAAGTAAAAATTATCATTGGGATAAAGATGACAATGACATATTTGCTTCCTTAAGTACACAAGAAATCTTGGAAGAAGTGAAAAATAAAATGCATGAAGATGAGGTGAGCAAGGTCAACAATGTGGGAAGTTCGCTTGTTTCTACAGGTTTTCAAACGGCTAATGGCAAGAAATGGGCTTAAGACGTACTCGTACTAGTTTAAAGAAATAACAATGACAATAAAGAGAATTGATGAAACACGCAATTATATATATATATATATATATACACATATATATATACATATATAAATAAAAATAAAAAAAAATTACAATGTTTATATAACCTTTATCAATAAGTTCTTGAACAGATGTCGGTACTCCTGAGAAATGAGGATCTTAAAAAATAAAAAAAAATTAAAATAAGCACAAACTTTTTTATTTTCACATTTTGTTTCATCTCCGTACTACTGTCAATAGAAGTATTTGGGATGGCAATGCTTTTTAATTCTGCTAGTTTGTTTTTAATAACAGTGTGCTTTCACGTATAGATATATATTATATACATTTTATATATATGTATGTATGCATACATATAATGAAAGAAGATAACGGTTTCTGCAAACCAGCAGAAATGTTGCAGACGCAAATGCGCTTTGCTTTCGTTTATTCGGCCATTTCAATCGTTACCGCGGCTGAGTTAAGATATTTCATTTTAACTTTTTGCGCCATAAACCGATTTTACGGAGAATCACAAATAATTAAGAATCGATAAAGTTGTCACACTGCTTAGAACCAGATAGGTGTCTGAACAGTATTATGTAAAACGTGATAAGTGCACTGAATGCGATTTTAATAAACTGGCACCTTCAATGGCGGCTACATATTCTACCCACCACGTTGTCTCTAAAGCCGTCTGGGGTCTGTGTTTATAGGCATAGGAAACTGCTTTTGCACTTTCGTGGTATCTGAAAAGAAAATCATAAACAAAAAATGTGCTTAATAAAAATATCTCTTTTTCTTTGCTTAATATTCATCTTAAAAATAATGTAAACTTCACCTATATATAGATGATCTTAGTTTCTGCATGTGTAGTCAATCAAATTATCTATTTATGTCTATTTGTTTAAAATATCGTAACGATCTTGAAAATTATATATTTAAAAATTTAACACTGGGTTTAAAATTTCCGCACAGTCTCACAAACAATTCTTTTACATTATGGTTTTCCATATTCTTTATTGTTTTTGCAACCACGACCGAAAGATGCTGACATATGTACTTTTGTCAAAACTCAGAAGGAATATTCCGAAATTCTATAAAGTGTATATTTTCTCGAACAGTATCAAACTCTTAAACGATGGAAATACGTCCACCTGGCAGTCTCCGCGCTAGTGGAGTGTCTGTGGTACACATTTTTCTGACGAATTTCACGAAAACTTTGGAAGTTCTTGAACGAATGTTGGTACTGAACATAAGCTGAATCGTTCAAACGACTCGCCTACCATGCGATGTAAATTGAGAGTAACACTGCTTCCAAAAACAAAGAAGAGAGCAAAAAAGCAATGAAACAACAAACAAACTTAGTGTCTTTCCATAACTTTCTTTAATGCCTTGATAACGTTGTTCTCGTTAATGTCTTCATAATTAAGAAGTATTTCCATGTCTCTCACTTTTCTACAACGCCTTTTAACAGTCTTATAGCATCGCCTGAGAGTACACTGAGAAATTTGGAACGGAGCCCTTTATTTATATTACTGGAGAAACCGAAACGCAGACATAAGGTCATTTATAAATCAATCTGAGAAGGGGACCCCGATATGGCCACCCACATATTGATAAGAAATCCGTTTAATCAACATGCCCGCAAAGCCACATAAAGTAAGTTTAGAAACAAGCAAGTCATGGTTTACTCTATCAAAAGCATAACTGAAGTTAATATAAATAACATCAGTTTGCATACATTGCGATATTTGAATCGTCACTATTCAAGGTTTTTTTTCTCTCCCATTGTGAATTATGAGCAAGAGGAATTATTGTGAATTATATGAGCAAGAGGAAGTACTGTAAAATATATGAGCAAGAGAAAAGTATATGAACAAGAACAAGAATTGTAAAATATATGAGCAAGAGGATTAATTGTAAAAATTGTATGAGCAGCGCAATAACAGGAATTTTAAATTATATGAGCAAAAACAAGTATTGTAAAATATATGACCAGGGATAAAAGATGGCTTATTTTAATTTTTTTTTATTTTTTAGGCAACACATAGCAATAATAAAATTTGTTTACTATAACTTGCTTTCGATCTTCGTTTCGGGACCGCCTACCTCCTCTTTTCTGGGGGAGGGATTTCGTGAACGCCTACATTCTCTTTCCTAAAGGATTTCGTCCACGCCTACCTCCTCTTTCCCGGGGGGAAAGAAGAGGTCCGCCCCGTCGCCCTCCGCGCTTAGCAGAATTATTGCTAGCAGAAGCCTGTTGATGTCGTCGATGTGCTTCAACACGTCTGGAAATACGTCTTCCGTTGTTTCTTCCTTTTCTTTCAGTATCTCTTCTTTCTCCTTCTCTATCTGAAAATATATAAAAGTTAATTATCCCATAAAATAAAAAAATTATAAAATTTTATTTGTCCAGACAATTTTTCTATTTGTTTTTTTGTTGTTGTCTTCTAACTTCATTTTCACTCTTACTTTTCTTATTGTCTCGTTCAAAATGGATTCCTGCAATATTTTACCGCTGTTTCCAGCACTGTAACCAAAAATTATAAAAATTATATAATTGAAACACTTTAAACGCAACTCTGTGCTGAACGTATGCGTTAGATAATGCGAATAGTTAAATATGACTCTGCGTACGAAAAATTAGATAATTCAAATCATTTTTTGAGGTTATAGAGATTTCTGGAAAGCTTGCTTTAAACGTACATTTTCTGTGTGAAAAAAAACCAACAATTGGAAAAAATCTAGTAATCTTTAAACGTACATTTTCTGTGCGCGCGAATCGGAAAGAATCGACTAAGAAAAAAAAGCCAACAATTGGAAAAAAATCTAGTAATCTTCAATTCAGTCAATTTTGAATAATTTTATATTTTATTCCTGATCAGGTTCTTATATCTAAAATTAAGAAGCCAAGAAAAAGAAGTCATCTAAAATCAAGAAGAAGAGAAGTACGCAATCCATTCAACCGACTACAAAGCATACGTCACCTTTTACTGCGGTAAGTGCATTTATTTTCTTATTTGTTGATTTCTAATTGCTCCAACACAATAAAAGGTAAAAAAATTATATTTCGAACGTTACACAAATTATGTCCGTTGACATAAATGGACCTAAGCATTGAATTTTTCGTTTAAACGGATGGTGACTGGAGATGAGAAATGGATCACATACGATAACCCTGTGCGAAAACGATCGTGGTCAAAGAGCGGTGAAGCACCTCAAACGGTGGTCAAACCAGGACTAACGGCCAGGAAAGTTTTGCTATGCATTTGGTGGGACTGAAAGGGGATTATTTATTATGAGTTGCTTTCATATGGCCAAACGCTAAATTCTGATCTCTACTGTCAACAACTGGACCGTTTGAAGATAGCGATTGACCAGAAACGGCCAGAAGTTACCTTTAAAATAGCAACAAATCATACAACAAAATGGTGCATATTTGACCCAAATCGGGCAATCCGAAGCAGTCCTGAAGTTCATATAAAAATAATGGATTTCTTTTTCCCCAAACTAATATTATAATATAATATAATATTTTTATATCATATATATATATATGATATATACATATATAGATATATAATAATAATTTATTAAAATAAAATATTCTTTTTTGCTACTTACTTCAGTTAATTCGTTGTTCATTTTTTTTTAAATTTTGTACTATATACGTATGTGAAAAACTACCGTTTGTGTGAATACTCTTTGGTGGTCGATATCAAAATGAGCGAACGTATGGAAAAATGGCGGTTTGCAAAATTTGCACGAGTTAGTAGAAACCGTGATGATCTTTGATTGGATGTGTGAAAACACTTGCAGAATTAAAAAGTGTTGCCATCCCATTTCAAACCTTAAATTACGAGATTTGGAAATCAGTAATGAGCAATCACGGAAGAAAATAGACTACGAATGAAAAATTCGCTTAGATGTCATTATTTCTTGCTTTAATAATGAATACGTCACCTCTTCGATTTATTAAACTGTCTTTTATTATATATATTAATCAATGTATAAAACAATTTAATTAATGTAAAATTTTGAATAAGTATTGCAAATATATATAAATTGTATAACTAGAATCATTTAGCATTTAAGATTTTACAGAACTAGGTTTTGAAATGTAAATCAAAAAAAAAAAAAATAATAAAGCTGTGAAGGAAAAAATGCAAATTGTTGTGCAATTGCCTGCTTCATAGCGGATTTTATAAATTCTTGAGAACATACATACGGCTTTACTGCCTGCACCTCTGTTTCTCAAAAGGAATAAAAAATTATTTGGGATCATAAACTCTTAAACTATAGCAGATAAATCTATAATTCGCTATAACTGATTTATTGATCAAGATGAGAACTAAAGTAAGTATAGGGAATATCAGAAAAAGTCTTTTAGAAAAACAAACAAACGCTTCTTTGCAAACTGATATTTTTATCTCGAACCCGAATCCCTATGAAAAGTAATCCCTATGAAATGACGCTTTCTTTGGCTACAATGTCTGAAGTGGTGCAGAGTGCGTTAAAGTCGACTTTGCGCAACTACAATATTTTTGGTTTTATTAGAGGCAATACATAAACACACAAACATAAGTGTGCCCCAAATACGTTCTCGATTGCGATCGTTTACTTGTATTTCGTTTCATTAAAGAATTCAAACAATGGTGGATCGGTATGGGAGTCGGGTAAAATCGAATTTCCCCGTATAATCTGTGATTGATACCAAAATTGGTGCAAAGTAAACGAAGCTCCTTGGTTTGCAAACGGGGGGAGTTGCTTACCGATACAAAAAAGTTGGCCTATTTCCTTTATGTATTTTTGAGAGCTATTTGAGAGAAAAAATTTCTTATAACGAAACAAACTGAAGTTGAACGAAATTTTTATTTATTTATAAAAATCACAATTAGTATTTACGTGTTTTTTCATTTGACATGAGACGTGTTTTAAGAGTGATGTCTGCTTTGTACCTAAAAATAATCACAAAATAAATATCATAAATATAATTATTATTAATACCATTACTTACTTTTATTATTCGTAGTAGTACTGATTTATTACGATTATACTATCACCATGCGTGGCCGCTTCTCGGCCCTGTTTCGGGCGGCTCAGTATATTGCGTAAATCAAATTGTGAATTTTGTCGGCGTCGCCGTCCCTTGCGCTGCTGGCGGTTTATCCACTGCCGCAAAACGGTAGGGGGTGGCGATTCTTCGCGCGAGACATCTTCTGCGACATCTTCTTCTGGTTGTCCAGTTTCTTTTTTTTCATCTAAAAAAAAAAAAATTTAATATTAAATCAAAAAAAAAAAAAAATTATACAACTTACTTTGCGAGACGGACGACTCCCAATTTTTGGCGCCCTCACCGCGCCGTTCGTTACGCCAGTCTCTTGTTTTTTCAGAGCAAGAGTTGTACATGAAAGTAGTAAAAAAACCAAAAAAGTTAGTTGCCTAGATTTATTATGAAATCGTATTTTATTAAATTTTTTATTTTAAACATGTTTTTGCCAAATAAATTTATGAAAAATAAAAATTATTATTTATTTATTTATTTATTTCACTTATACTAGAAACTCAACTAAAACAAAATGGCAGTCGAGTTCAATTGGCACTTAAAGCAAAATTTATATTAAATTAATAATCTCAAAGCCATCGCAAACATGCATACGCTTAGTAAACCAAAATAGTTAATAACAATTAATTTTCGACTCATAATGACTTTTTAACCTTAAAAGTTAGTTCAAGTACGACAAGACGATGGACTTTAAGGAGTCCGTTAATGAGAATAAATGATAGACGTCATTTAGTTTCTTGCAAACTACTCTGAGCGGATTAAACAGCTCATAATTAAATTTACACTGATTAAGCTTAACCAAGATAAAGTGCCTAGAGAACCGGTTAGCGACATTAAAGCCTATCTCACGAAGTAATACGGGCGAGTCAATTGTACCATTTATTACTGTAATTAGAAAGAAAAGGCCAAGAACAAATCTACGTTTCTCAGGAGACGGTAGGGGCAGCAGAAGCAACCTTTTTTAGTTATGCAAGATTATATATTATATAGTACGACTATTAAGATCATCATTATTCACGATCTTTCAATCAAGAAATTAAACGAAACTCATATATAGTGTAGTGAGATTTCATTTTCGCCATTCATATTTATAGGAAAGCAACTCTGCGCTCTTTTCATATATGCTCCTTTTCTTATATACTTTGAAAAGAAAAAAACTAGATAACGGCTTTCTGCGAAAAAAAGAAAATTTTACATGGCCGTCGCGATCATTTCGAACAGAACTGCAAAAGCAGTTATATCAAGTGAAAAGTGTTAAAGTGTTTGGAAAAGTTGAAAAATCCGATTTAAGTTAACCGTCAAATATTTTAATTATTTTCATATTATTTTGATATTTGATTATTATTTTATTTACTAAAATTTGACATTGGTGTATTGTTTAAATTTTGTGCATCGAAATAATTTCATAGTTGTGACTGTAAGTGAATTTTTCAATATTACATATATTTTATTTATTGTCGAGGAGAGCCACAGATTCGCATAGTTTTCCTTGTAATCTTGTTGTGGTCTCCTTGATATTTTTTTTGGAATATAACAACAACAACAACAAGTATGTACAAGCGCGCCGCCATACTTGTATATACTTGTTGTTGTTATATTAAGCATTTTTACCTTATATAATGAAATCTAACGATTTAATGAAATCATTTTTTCTGCTAATTGAGGAGAATTTAACACTGGACCCGGAAATATTACAAAAAGTGTATTTGACTTATTGCCGAATGTGTACCATTGTAATGTATTATTATGAAAATGTATTATCTGCCCAAAGCTACATTAATTCTAAAACGAATTAATTTTTCCATCTCAATACGCTTGGAGAGTAGAATGTGACAAGCTAATTGTTGTAATTCTAAGTAATTATAGTCGACTTAATAGATAAAATCCCCTGACGTTTACGAGAAATCGGTTTCTGGGATATTATAATATCAAGTGCCCAAGATTATGGGTAGTCAGTAGAAAACCAAGGAAGCAGAATATATCTGATATTTCATTTTCAACGCTAATTTGAGTGCAAAAACTGCCAATGTTTCTGTCCGCTGCTACTATGCCATATTGCATGAATTTCTTAAACCGTTTATATGCATTCAACTGAAATAAAGGACCTCCAATGCCACCCTTTCTCATATAACGAACTTTAAAAATTAGGAATCGAAGAATTGGATTGATTATTGTAATCAGAAAACTTCACTGCCTTTTCCCAAATACACTTCACAAAATCATGAGCCCAATAGTCAAATATAAAAAAGGAAAAATGTAGATTAACGCTTTATAAACCTTGCTTCGCTTACATTGAGGCATTCTCCCTCTGCATACATATGAATACATATATATACATAAATGTAATACTTATTTATTTATTTATTAGTTTATATATAAAATATCATATTATGGAAATTTTTTGAAGTGCATATGCTAAAAGTAATTCGTATAATTATTGTATTTGCCATCAACGAGCAGAATAGTTTTCTGCACATAACGGTCATATTTCATTTTTCTTTGTTCTTAATGCTGATCGAGAAAAAGCGATGGCTGATAAAAGAACAACACACACGCATAATTTACGAGTGCATACAAGTACGGCGGCGCACATTTGTGTTCTATGCCGTCAATATGAGAAAACCAGCTAACGGCTTTTAGCGAGAAAACAAAAGCATTTCACAAGTGCACGAGGAAGTTTTGGAAATATACATACATATGAATACATATTTTGGTAAAGGACGGATTCTAATCAATCTTATTTAACACTAAACGTACCGCGCGCGGTCAAATGACCGTTTTTAAACTTTCGTTTAAAATTTCTCGCATAAAACGTTATTGTATCATCATGTATCTTATTGACTTTTCCTAAAATATACATACAAACAATTTTTCAATATTTCCAACTTTTTTTAATGTGTATTTTCCGAAAAAAAATTATACCATGTCTAGTCGACCGGGCGCGGTCATTTGACCGCTTGAAAAATTTATGTTATTTATGACTATATTCTTCGATAATCTTGTTCTTGAAATTGTTTTAGGAGTCTGCAATGTAATTGTAGACAATCTACAATCTAATCGATGTGTCCGACATTCGTGGAATATCAACTTATTAGACAAAATAAATAACATCGACGAGGATTGTTCGGAAGATGATCAAGAAGTTTACGGTATTGATGACGATACTGCAGAAAATTATTGTGACTTATTTGACAGTGAAACGGACGAAGACAAAATTTTAAATATACGTAGAGGACAGGAAAGAAAGACATTTATAGTTAGTTCCGAAAGTACAAATGAGGAAGAGATTGAAACTGCTATGAACGGAACTGTTTGGAAAAAAATAAAAGAAGGGTCTAACAGTGGAAGAACATTCATTTGTAATATTTTCAAGGAAATATCAGGACCAACAGGATACGCTAAACGAAATATTATGAAGGGCAGAGCATTTTCAGCATTTTCTTTGATTATTGATCATAAAATGATTGAACATGTAAGAGAATATACGGAATCAGAGGCTTTTCGAGTGTTGAAAACGAAATGGAATTTATCTATTGCAAAATTATATGCTTTTATTGGACTTTTATATGCACGCGGCGCATATGAGGCTAAAAATATTAATTTGTCATATTTATGGAACAAGAAATGGGGTCCGTCCTTTTTCTCGACAACTATGGGTCGAAATGACTTCGCAGAAATCATGAGATTTATTCGATTTGACAACAAAAATCAACGAAGCCAACGCTTACAAAACGATAAGTTCGCATTGATTTCTCAAGTTTGGTATAAATTTATCGAAAACAGCCAGAACTGTTATAAACCAGGAGCATATCTTACTATAGATGAACAATTGTTTCCTACAAAAGCACGTTGTAGATTTACTCAATATATGCCCAATAAACCGGACAAATTTGGTATAAAATTGTGGTTAGCTTCCGATGTAACCAGTAAATATATAGTAAACGGCTTTCCACATTTGGGAAAAGATGAAGGGAGAGAATCATCAATCCCACTTGAAGAGTTTGTAACTTTGAAATTAGCAGAACCATATACGGGCCATGGGAGAAATATAACATTTTTTTTACAAGCGCGTCACTAGCGAGTAAACTTCTAACAAAAAGAACTACTCTCGTTGGAACAATCCGGAGAAATAAAAGAGAGCTACCAAAATTAGCGAGACAGGCAAAGGATAGTATGACACGCTTCTCAACAATATTACACAAATCGAAAGATTTTATTCTTACAATTTATAAAGCTAAACCCAATAAAAAAGTATTGATACTTAGTTCAATGCATGCATCCGTTGAAATTGAAAAAATTGACACCCGTATACTAGAGACAATTAGAGTTTACAATAGTACAAAATTGGGTGTAGATGTAACCCATCAAATGGCCAGAAAATATAGTGTAAAATCTAAATGTCAAAGATGGACTTTATATAAAGAAACGACGGGTGAGGAAATGTCGAGGCAAGAGTTTTTATTTCAGTTGGCAGAAGAACTTGGGACCGAATATCAGAAAGAGAAACAGATAAGCCAAGAATGCTCATCAAAAACAACAATAAACACAAACACTGTTTCTTCTTGTCAAATAAGATATTGTAAAGTCAACAAAACAAACAAAATTTGTATAAAATGTAAAAAATACGTATGTGGAAAATGTGCAACACAAAATGCTGTAATTTGTAAAAAATGTGATGAAAATGCATAAAAGTAAATGAAACATACAACATCGAAAAGCGGGGAACGAGTTTTTAATGTAGCATCAGAAAAATATTTTGTTTACTATCTACTTTATATATGTTTTTTTGACGCGGTCATTTGACCGCTCACGGTAGAAATAGGTATACATGGAATGTCGGTAGCTTTAGTGTTAAGCAAAATTTAATCAAATGTCATGTGTGTCCTATTTAAAGTTTATTTCATCCATTTTTAAGTCATTAGAGGAAGATCACACCAAAACAGGCTCATCAATGTTGTAGGTGCAGCTTACATCTGATTTCACAAAAAAATAACGGCATATAACAACAAGTATGTACAAGCACAATTGTACATACTTGTTCATTTTTGTTGTTGGATTAGCCATTTCTTTTTTAAATTATGCGGAAAGCTTTTCTGCTCGTGGTTGCTACGTGTTATTTTCCAAGAATAGTTTCCTTCTTCTTCTTGTTCTTTACTTCTTTCGCATGCTTGTCGAAGACTCGTGATATATTTGTCTGACACTTACAAAAAAAAAACAGCTAATGGCAGCGTATTTCCAACGCTTCGAGAAATTTCTTAAGCCATTATCTGATCAGTTTTTTGTTTAAGTCTTTTCTGTTTGCTTTTCTCGCAATAATGGAAAAAGCTATTTAACTGAACGAACAAGGAAATCAACAGCTTGTAAAAGTTGATCCCATTGTATGCTAACAATATGAACGGGTTAATAATAGATGTTTCCAA